GGCTAAGTGGATGAAAAAGGCATTTGTCACGCCTTCCGGAAACTGTCGCAGATTGTATTAAGATATCAAACGAAAACCACTGTATTCCTCATGAAAATGCTGCTTTCGTCCTGATTCGGTGAAAAATACGCTATAGAGTTCCGATTAATAAAACCATCGTCTGCGCGAACTCGACGGGATACACTCAATGATGAAACGAGCGTCGGCGCGATGAGTGTCTTAAAGTTTAACTCGCATGTAACGACATCATAGTCGATTTATTCGAGACGAGACTCGGGGTCGGAGAGTTATGTCTCCGTAACCTTGGACCGTCGTATCTGACTTTGATTTCTCCCTCACTCCTTCTTCCCGATCACCCCCGAGTACTTTCAATGTGTCTGCTCGTGTTACGACCAACGACCCTGTTTTCGTCTGCGCTCGCAAGACGGGGTCGTCGTTTCCGAAATTTTGCCGCGAGTCACACCATCGATTTTCACGTGTAGCTTCCTGTCGTAAAAGCGCGCGCGTTACGTAATCTCCGTCCCCGATCGTTTCCCACTCCGAGATGTACTTCCGAAACTGCGCGGAATACATTAGCAACCATCTCGCTTGAACGGAGAAGTGAGAGCGAAAGTCGAAGATGATTAAAGTCTAAGGTCTGATCTACAATAGGAGTCGTAAGCTGTAAGTCGTAAGAATTAGCCAATTGTAGTCGATTATTCTTGTAATTGGTCAATTCTTACGGCTTACAGTTTTACGACACATATTTGTAGACGAAAACTAATCTGTCAAGAGTCAACGTCGGCGTCTTCGGCGTGAAGAGCGAACAAGGCCGCACGAGAACTAATGCAACCCACTTCCACGAGGGAGAAAATCCTTCTTTTGGTCTCGCGTAATAGCATATAAAATATCCGGAAGTCAGGTAGGTTGCTCGAACATGTTTTCGACAAGATCTGAATAGCGACTCGTCGCCTCCTCGCTCCTCTGCTTCTCTCTCTCTCTTTCTCTCTTTCTCTCTCCCTCTCTTTCCTTAGCGGGATTTCACCGCATTAAGGAATACTCGAGTTCATATCACTCGTCCTGGTCGGGTCCACTACGGGTCTTTGCCTCCACCCCAACGACCCCTTTGAACTTTGCCCTACTGCATACGCCGGACTTAATGCCACCACCACCACCATCTCCACTACTACCAGCAGCACCACCGCCACCACTACTACTATCATCGCCACCATCTTCACGTCACACACACGCCGCATTTTCTATGAGTCGCACAGATCGTTGAGTCGTCTAGGGGTAGGAAAATTGTTTACCTCGTGTCGCTTTGTCGACTACCGAAAACGCTTCGCGGAATTAATGTCCGCGAGCCTTGTAACCCGGATTTCGTCGCCGAGTAAATTAGCACGTTTTCCATCCAGTTTCGCCGTGGACATAAAGCTCCATATGCATCTCGCGCGTGTATTCGTTTCGGGCCTTTCGTTGATGCGAATATATTACCGGGGAAAGTTGCGGTTATTACACGAACATTGCGTGCACCCATATCTCTTAATTTGCGAATATTCACTGTTTAACTTTATTCCCGTGCGATTAAAAATCAAAGTATTACGCTCAAAGATACACATATGGAGAAATCCGAACATAAATGATAAATTATTGAAACGCAAGGAAATTTATAGTACTTTCTTCTTTTTGCAACAAAAACTCTTCGTTGTGAATGAAAAAATAACACCGAGAAAAAATATTTCACAGAAATCAATTTTATATCCCACAAATAAGTTAAGTATCTTTTCCTTAATGCACAGAACAGATGCGTAGTTGTAAAACTCGCTAGTCGAGTTGATCATTTACTTCCAAGTTCACAGTTTTTCTTTCTCCTCGAAAGTATCATTTTGTTTCATTACGATCGCATAAGCAGTAGTCGTCGAGCGAAAAACGGGTAGGGAGGCGAGCGGTAACAAGTATCGTGGAGAAGAAAAACGCCAGCGCAACAAAGAAGACACCGTGTTTTCTGCACAACGTGATGATCGCGCACGCGAGCAGAGCGGATAGTCAACGAGACGATAAACGAAGCGCTTCCGTCTCGACAAAAACGACACTCGAGATCGGTAGAGAGTAAAGAGCGAGCGAGAGAGACAGGTTCACGGGGTAAAGAAATAACACGAAAAGGAGAAAAGAAGAAAGTCAAGGCGATCTTGGAGCTTGCAACGTGCACGACAATTCGCGCAGCGAAACTGTTATATCCGACTTGTCCGATGGGTTACGCAATGCATCACTCGTTGAATAACTACGCGCACTATTTCCGAGCTTCCTCTGTCTGATCCGTCAGTGAATCACCTCGCGAAATAAATCGCGTTGCACGTGATAGTCGCGAAGTTGACTGTATCAGTGACGCGAGTCGACGGACGGTCAGCCAAGTAGTAACAGACTGATGTCGGAAAGCCCATAAACCATACAAGCGAACCTTTCGTCTTAACGATCGCTGGTGTATTTTTTCTAAGGAGTCAACCACTCGTACACGATCGGGCACTTTCTTTTTGCCTCTAATACAGTTAGGGGGATGTACATATATATATATATATATATATATATATATATATATATATATATATATATATATAT